TGTTCTCAGGCCCAATTGGAGTGGGTGACTCCCTTAGAGCTGAGGTCTTTGTAGTTATGGAAGGAGTCCAAAAAGCCAAGGAGATGGACATCAGAAAACTCTTAATTGAAGGGGATTCGGAGGTGGTGATAGGGTGGCTGAATGCAGACAACAATGGTTTATGGAGGTATAGTAATCAGAGGAAATTTGAGTGGCTGGTGCGGGAGATGGAAGTTAAAATGTGCTGGGTCAAAAGATCAGCCAATTCTCTAGCTGATGGTTTAGCTAAACAAGGGGCAGAAAGGGATTCAATGTTTTGGGCTAAGTTGTAATTTTTTGTCTCTACCTATTCTTTTGTTTTCTTGATTGTACTTGGAAGATAAGTGTGTTTGTCTTCCTTATGTAACCTCTTTGGTGAATTAATGAAATTGTTATTGATAAAAAAAAGTCAAATAATCTACGTACAATGGCTCTTCAACCTACATAGATGTAAAATAAACACAATACCTGGCATTAAATAACATAAATAAATCATTTTCTAGTAAGGGCTTTAAAACAAGTCTCCCTTGACAAAACTGAATATACACAGAATAAAAAAAAGACAAAGTAGAGGGCTAATTCTTAATTGAATTTATTTGAATCGCAATGAAGTGCAGGAATCATATACATTGTAAGATTTTTGCATGAAAATATTCAGACATAAGATTCAAATCAAAACCATTGGTTCAAATTGTGAACCATATTGTAAATTGTCAGATTTTTACAACATTGCTTATTGGTACCAGATATAGACTGAGACCTGTGGATTGATCTAGTAGGGAATTTTGGTTCATCTATGGTCTGGCAATTGGAAAGGCAACCCTAAATCTATGGTTAGCTTTGACAAAAAAAAATTGATAAGAACACACTTGATTCGATCCTTTTATTATACTCTTCCCTTGAAGGGAGGTCCCTAAATAGATTTTCTCAGTTCTTATGATGCTTGGTTGGCAAATAGGGTTCTGTGGAAACCCCTGTTTATAGGAGAATTGAGGAGAAGAATGCTGAAAATATTTGAATGTTTGAACTCCTTTTGGTCCTTCATGAGAAACATGCTCCAGATCAACAGTCTAGGGAACATATTTGGGAAACGGAGCCTGTTGGCTGCCTCACTTTCAGGTCCTTCTATAACCATTTATTTCACATGACAATTAGTTCCTTATTCCAGGATCTTTGCAATCTAGGTTCCATTTAAAGTCACTTCTTTTATATCGAAGACTGAAAGCGTTCTGATCAAACACTTATAATTTATTGGGGTAAAAACATGTCTGATTATGATGAACAAGAGCACCATTTCATTTACTGCACTTCCATAATGAAAAGATGATAGACTTTTTCATCCTTGGAAAAAGTTAGACACCATGGGAAAAACCTTTTAGTATAGTTTCTCACTTAACTATTTGTTGGGGCATTAGGACTGAAGGAAACTTGGAGTTCTCCAATTAAAGGAGTAACTTATTTCCAGGTATCAAACTGGGTTCTAAGACTTCATATTGGAAGGCATTAAGGACTATAGGCTGTCTGTTTTAGAAGTCAACTGGAAAAATATTTTTTGATTGCAAATTCCAATCCAGAAAGATTCCTTGGCAATTGGTAAAGCTTAGCACTTGTTGGACAAGCTTAATATTGATGGTTATCTACTAGGCAACAAAGTCTTAGACCCCCGACTAGAAATTAGCCAATTGGCTGAGTGAATTAGCTAATTGGGAGGAAAGAGTGAAGGACTCTTGGTAAAGCTGATCTGTGTGCATTGCTTGCTGGATTAGAGGTTCACACTGATCCATTCACCTTAACCTAGTTATAGTTATAGATTGACAATTCCAAAGTTTCAACTTCTGGTGTCTTGGTGAGACAAGGTATATTTTAAGTTTGTTAATATTGTGAATAAGATCCTTTTTGTTTTTAAGCTGTATCCAGATTTTGTAAATGCATATTTCAAGTGCAAATGTTGGCACCATCTGCCTACAGAAATGAACCTTGTAATTTAGGTGTCTTAGAATCTAGTTACTTAAGGAAAATGGAGTATCTATTTCTGTGGGTATTACCATGCTAAAATAGAAAAGACCCTCACCAAATGAAAATTTGTGGCTTGTGAACCTTGGAAATCCTTCCTGTCAAAAAAAAAAAATGCAATGAGACGGAAAGAGGTTCCTCGACCCTTAGATGTGCAAGAAACAATGTACCACTTTTGGGGAAAAAAACTTATAAGATTTTGCAAGTTGAATTCTAAAAGAAGTAAGAATAAATAGAAGGATTCTTTAAAACCTCTATAAGAGGATAATCCATAAAACACATGGACATCCATAAAATTCCATAATCCAAATCCATTGAAGACATAGGTATCCATAAAGTCATTAAGATTAATTGGTCCAAATTCAAAATTTAAAGTATCAAATGTCAATAAGCAGATTGAAATTTTGGTAAAGTGTGTGCATTATTCTCAGGCCCAGCAGGTGAAGGAGAGTCACTAAGAGTGGAAGTAATGGCAGTTATGGAAGGAGTGCAAAGGGCTACAACCATGAATGCTAGAAAGCTAATCATTGAAGGGGATTCCAAACTGGTAGTGGCTTGGCTACTGGATGAGGAAAGTAGGATGTGGAAGTATAATAATGAAAAGAAAAAACTCAGATGGATCACAAAGGACATGGAACTGAGAATACAGTGGGTGAGAAGAACAGCTAATTCAATGGCTGATGCACTGGCCAAGCAAGGGGTTGGGAGAATTCAAACATTTTGGGAACAACTGTAATTGTAATTATAACTAAAGTTAAAGGGGGAGAGATAAGAGAGCTTGTCTCTCTCTCACTTTCTCTTGTACACTTTCCTTAAAATTCAATGAAGTAATCAGTTATTCATAAAAAAAAAAAAAAAAACATGTTCAGTTATTAATATGTTAAAAAACTCTAAACAGGAATAATTGCAAACAGTTAAAAGGAAAAGTTGAAAAAAAATGGATATAGATAGCAGTAGCAACAAGTGCAGCCCTTTTCATGTAAACAAAGCAGTATAGTTGAAGAGAGAGGATAGAGTTGGGAGGATGGATAAGAAAAGGGGACTGCAATGACCTTAATGTGCTGACTGCAGCATTGCTCAGCATCAATTGAAAAAGGAAAAAAAAAAAAAAAAACTGATCTTACCTCATGTAAGTAGCAGCCAAAGTTTCATGGTTTTGTTTCCTTTGCAAGGTTAATAGACCAATATAATAGAACAGAAGAAATTATTCTTTCCTTTGCAAGTTAGTAGACCAACAGAATAGTGTAAACGCATCTACAGTTTCCAAATATAAAGTTARCATGGGTTCCATTGTTAGATCCTGGTCGCTGAGTTCGGTTCAACTAGATGAATAGCTTGATCAAGTTACTGATTTGGCCTTAGAAAGTATCAAGCTGATTTCTTTTCCCAAGAGAAAAGAATTGATATTGTCAAATATTGGCTTGGATTTTTAGCATAAATTCTTGTAAGAAAAATAGCAGTGAGTGTGCAATTTTCCTTCAATAAATACTAACTAGCACTTGATGTCAGTGAGTCTGAATTTTATTGCCCTGTCTATTTGCCACACACAGAYCAAACTGCATGTCCTATTATCAAAGTAGTACCCCCAAGAGCTAAGGAATTTATTTCTTCTGCTTTTTTTTTTAATGAGCTAATTACTTTATTGATTTGCATATTGTTAAAAATGGCAGATTCTTCTCAATCCCCTCTATTTACCTGGGTCCCGCATTACATCATCACACTTCAACACAAAAGTTCGAGCCCTTGCCAGAAAATATCTATAGATCTATGGATCCAATCCAATGCTTTCCTCTCAAATGGAGACAAGAAACCAATTGGGAAGCTCCACAAAAAGGCCAATGTATTTTTTTCTTTTTTTTTGAAGGCTCCAATGTACTTTGTGAACTTCATAAGAGTACCTATATTGATGATTATTATTGTTATTTTTGGTAGAAAAATTATTAAGATGAAATCCCCACTTTGATGTTACCATTTTCTTATTATGTTTTGTAATAATTATCTGATCTTCCTTGTACAGAGCTAGTGTGAATCAAGAAGTGCATCCCAGAGATTCACTTTGACTGCTTTGAGAACAGTAGTTCCAAGACTGAAAAACCTGATTTGTTTAAAGATATATATAATGCACTATTTTGTAGGAAAAGCAAGTAGATTGTAACACCATTTTGATCAAGCCCATTAGAGCGGATTCCAAGTTACTAACAGACCCAAAAGTCGTAAATGTTACCCTTTTCTCTAGGATTTACACTGAACCCCAAAGTTATATCAAACTGAAAGTAAGGGTTTTAGCCATTAAAAGATATTCCATAACTTACACTTCGTTGAATGTTTCTTTATGATATCCATCAGATCAACTTTATACTACAAGAAATTGAAATTTGGCGGGCATTTTTGTGTCAACGATCTTATAATTGCCAGCTTATTCATGAATAAGCAATGTTTTAAAAACTGACCTGGATGCTGACCCATTTTTGTTTCTAGGCTGCTGGTAGAGGTGCAAATGGATCATATAATGATCCGATCTGAGGTCCAATCCAATTTGGTCGAATTCGGATCACCCCCCCCCCCATCTGATCTGAGAAGATCCAATCCAATGTATATTATATACTTATAAATATAAATATATATAATACATATATATGTTATTTATTTACTTATAAATATATTTTTATATATTTATAAATTTGTTATATTATTTATTTTTTTATAAAAAAATGTATGTATATGATGAAAATAATAAAAAATATTTATATTTTTTTACTTTATTTAAATGAATATATTTTATTTTTCTTTTAATAATTTATTAATTTTTAAAGAAAATAAGTCGGATTGGATCAGATATGAAGATCAGACTTATTGATAGGATTCAAATTTAAATCAAATCCTATTAGATCCGATCAGATTGGATTCGAATATACCCTGATTTGAATCTGATCCGATTCGTTTGTATCCCTAGTTGCAGGTCACCAATTTGGTCGTCCAGTCAAATGGGTCAGACCATATCATGTCAGTATACTTAATATGTGTRTAAACATATATTTATCAGTGAAATAATGTACAATTCACACATAATATATGTATATATAAACATTATTTTTTGTTTAATTTATATTTTTAATTTGTTTATTTATAAAAAATATTAAAAATTGTAATTTGAGGCAAAAAAAGGAATTTTTTGGTGAAAATAGTGGGACATTATCACCTTAGAACACATAAACATAAAAAGTTACCCCAAATCAATATAAAGATCACTCTAATTGGACAACCGAGGGTAAAGTTATGGCCTCTAGAAATGCATATGCGTTGAATGTGCAACCCATGACCAGGTGCCAAGTTGAACAGGTCATGGTTCAATCGCCCAGGGTTGAACAATTTTTTATTGAGTCAATGGTTTTTTTACCAAAGTCTGAACCTTGGGAGAATTAAACCTGAAATCATGCTTGGGTGATGATTCAAATGATTCAACTAGCCGAGTCAATGGCGGGTTGAAAACTTGAGTATAAGCTTGGCCGTATAGAAAGTCCACTAAAAAATTTGCTTCATTAAACATTCTTCATGCTCAGTTTGTTTGCAGTATAATGAACTAGATACAAGTTTTGCATTTAGTTCACTTTTTCATCTGCTTGTAACTTTGACTGCACTCTTACATGATGCAAAATTTGCATTTGTCATTTGTATTCATTGGCGGTGCAAAATTTGCACCTAGAATAGCGATGCAAGCACCGTGTTCCTCCTACCTTGGTTCTCATATAGACCTGTTCATGGCCTGGGCCCGGCTTGGGCCGGGCTTTCACTATGTATTAACAGATTTTTCTAAGGCTCGAGCTCGAACCYGACCCTCATAAAAAGCCCGAAGCCCGGGCCTGGGCCTGGGCCCGAGCCCGAAATTTATCCCATGTTGTTACTACTGCTGAAGCGGTTGAATGGAGAAAGAGAAAGAGAGAAATTATAAAGAAAAAAATAAAAAATGTATATATTAAATTATAAATATATATATATATATATTTCAATAAATTATATTATTTATATATTTTATATAATATATAAAATACATATTATGTATTTTATAAAATATATAATGCTGAGTCAGGCCGGTCCGGGCTTTTTTGACAAATCCCGAGCCCGGCCCGTAACACAGTCAGGCTTACTATGTTAGGCCCGAGGTCAAGCCCGCAGGTCTAATTACATGACCAAGCCCGATCAGGGTGCAGGCAGGGTCGGGCCGGGCCATCGGRCTACTCAGCCCATGAACAAGTCTACTCTCATATGAAGTCAAGGTTCAAAATTTCCTCATACTGGGCATATCATATCATAAGATCAACTTTGGAGTCAAAATCTATTTCATGGGTAGGCAAGCCTTAGACGGTTAGACCAACCCTCCCTAAATAGGTTTTGAAAGAGAAAACAAAAGACTAAAAAATATCAAGCGTGGGGTTTAAAGTACCGGTGCACCCCTTCTGTCATATTAGGAATGGCAATGGGGCTGGGCGGGAGCTGGGAAAGGCCCAATGGGGTGGGTTAGATTGCCATCTAACCTCTAYGAAGTGGGCATCACATAATTTCGCTTTCATACTTTAGTCCTTCCGAAAAATAATCATCCTCCTTCGTTCTCTTTCACATAAAGTATGTTTTACTTTCTATTTTATTTTCACAAAAATAGTTAAATATATCAGAAACAAAAAATGAATCAAAATTTACACTCAAACAATTTGCACTGTTATAAATTTACACAAGTGCAAATGAAACTTGCACCACAAACAAAGGAGACAAAATTTTCCATATATATGGGTAGGGGTGGATGTGAACCGAGCTTTTTACAAGCTATTCGAGCTTGGCTCGTGAAAAGCTCAGCTCGGCTCGGTCCAGACCGAGCTTCGAACAGAATTTGAGCTGGAATACCGAGCTTGTTTACTAGTCGAGCCAAGTTCGAATATTATGCAATTTGGTTTGTTAGGCTCGCAAGCCTATTAAAACCATGTATATATATATATATAATATTTGTATATAATTATATAATTTATATTTAAATTTATTGGTGTACACACTATTGTGGTCCCTATTGTATTTTATATTTTCTTACTTTATCTAATGCCTAGGATGGGAGGGAAAGAAAAACCCTCAATTGAATCTTGAAGACTTGAATTGTTGAACACGAAATTGCAAGTCTACAACTGTAAGAGACGAGTAGAGAGCAAGTGTGAGTGCAATTGTGCGAGTGTGTAACAAGTGAAGACGCCGCCGCCGAAGAGGACTGATTACCTACTGTTTGCAACTCTGCAACTCTAGGTCTGCGACTCCAGGTCTTCTTCTTCTTATTTCGGATTTTCTTATGGCTTCTATAGGGATTTTATGATTTTGGTTCGTCTTGCAAGTTGCATCCACGCCATTAAAAAAAAGTATTTGAAATCTGTAATTTTTAGTTGAAGAATAATAACATTCATTCTGATTTTCTACAAGTAATTTTTTAATTAGAAATGAGGATAATTCTGATTTTCTACAAGAATAATAACATTCATTCGGATCTGAGCTCGAATTCAAGCTCGGGTAGGTTCAAATTCGAGCTCAGCTAGGCTTGGATTCGAATTCTAATTCGAGCTCGAGTAGGCTTGGTTCATTTCAAGCTTGAGCCGAACCGAGCTCGTATATAAATGTTTTTTTTTTCGAGCCGAATTCAAATTAATATTTCTAGTTCGAATCGAGTTCAAGCCTGAATTCGAGCTTGATGTTTTATTGTCAAGCTGAGCTTAAATAGTTAAATATTCGGCTCGGCTCATAAATCCAGCTTTGATTCTAGTCGTCTCGTTTGATGGTTAAGTTGTAATCCATCGTAAACATTTTCCTCTGGAAGGTTTTGGAACCGCGCGAGAAAAGTGATAGTCGTTGTTGTTCCAACGTCCACCCCAAATCACCTAAAAACTAAAACTAGTTTCTAGTTTCTACTTCCTACATCCTTATGCTAGCGGCTATGTTTTATGTATAGTGCCCGTTTGGGAGGGCTTCTGCGTTGGAGGTGAGTTAGGTTGATTGAACTGCGGTCTTGAGCACCTGTACTCCGAACAAATTATCAGGAGTGGTTTCATTTTCTGGACTTTCACCAAACACGACTTAATTATATGAATTCCATGTGGGGCCCAACTTGAAAGGCGAGAAGCCCCATCTCAAAAGCCCTTTCAAACGAGTCTGGATTACCCACGACAATTCTACCCACTCTTATCCACATTATATGAATGGGGATCGAGATATTCCCAATTCACGGAGGGAGGTAGTGTTTTGTGGATAGGCGTGGGTAGAATTTCTGTGGATAGAAGATCCACAGTCCTCTCAAACGGGTACATAGTGATAAATTGGAGTCTGTATTTGATCCCACTTGATCAATATTTCATGTTACCATATTTCTTGATTGTTTTGGGGACCCTTCTTATTTATTGTCAATATATATATATATATATATATATATATATATATATATATATATATATACCACCTAATTAAAGAAACTTTCAAGACTAAATACATAAATTAAACCCCAAATTCCATTTTAATTTTAGACAAAATTTTGGGGCTTAATCTAATTAATGTCATCTCAAATTTCTAATTTATATTTATGTTTGTGCTCAGGCCCTTGAGAATCTTTGCATAAGTATTTAAACATTGCTCCCAATTAAGTAACAGTTTGTTCTAATGGTTTTGGAAGGGGTATAAATATAAACATGTACAGTGCAAAATCTTGCATTTTGTATTATTTTGTATCGTACATATTTGTATTTGTACTTTTTCCAAACAGAGCCTTAGGCTCAGTTTGGAAGCAGTACAAATGCAAATATGTATTGTGTAAAACCTTATATTTTGTATTATTTTGTATGTATTGTATTGTACATATTTCATTTGTATTCTTTCTAAACTGAGCCTTAAGTTGTGTTTGATAACAATGTAAATCAAGATTAATGTAAATATTTACACCGGTTCAGTTTTATTGGCGTTTAGAAGGAGTGCAAATCAATATCGACATAAAACTCCACTCCGGTTCGATTTTGTCGACATTTAGATTGATGGAGTGGAGTTTTATGTTGTAAATCGATGCAAAACTCAAATGATCACTTTTTATGGTTCGATGTAAAATGTCATCAATGCAATTTTACACCTATGACGTTTTACATCGGTTCCAATTAAACGCAGCCTTAAGGATTAAGGGTTGATGGTCCTAACAATCAACAAGTATAACAATGCAATTAAACGGTATTGCTGAAATCAAATTTGCAAATTAACCACGGTGCAAATAAATTAATCCTCAAGCCGTGATCCGGCCCCCACGGTGCAAACAAACCATGTGTTGCATTCATTCTTGACGAATTAATTAATACAGTGATGGAGCATTCATTACAGATTTTACATCTCTAAACCCATGTTTAGAATGTCTGTTGAATATCAATAATGGAAGATGTAGAAATTATCAGAAAACTGCCGTGTCTCATTGATGAAGAAATCAAACCACACACACACACACCAGATTTTACACATACTGATCACATACATTAACCGTCTTAAATTCCTTCTTTTAGTTTACTCACAATATTTATTAAAAATAAAGTAAATTAAAGGAGAAAATATTGTGAGGACCGGACCATCATCATCATCATCCACTAGGTCACCATGTCCTCGTAAAATACAATCAGATTAAGGTTCTTCAGTGTAAGGTAATGGTGAATTTGAAAACATCCAAGAATAAAACTAAAACTCGATCGGGCAGAGGCACAGCCAACATGCTTGGTTTTTATCTATGGCGATTCGTTGTGGATGGGCGGTTTTCTGTGGGGTTGCTCATAATCCATGACTACAACGTCTTCATTATTGGTATGGTTTTTCTGAGAATCTATCACTTCTTCGGTAGCATGGGAATAAGCTGATCCTAACACCGACCTTGCTGCTCGCTTCTCCAATCCCTACACAATAAGCACCAGATAGATGATGAGATGATATGTTATAACACCATCCATCCCATGCATGCATGCATATCCCATGTACGTATATATAGCATGTTCAAATTCTCAAACACAAAGGAGATGTACACAAACATGCAAGCATGCATGCATGAATGCATGTCATGTAATGTATGTAGGACATATCATATACGCCCTTGCCACCCTCATCATGGACATGCTAATGTGATGGGCCATGTTTTTCTGGTCACCATTGCTAGCTCCAACTATTAATACAAACATGAAACGTGGTGTAGTTTACCTGTATTTTAGTTGCTTGTGGCACACCCACATGAGAAGAAGATGATATAGTCTCAGCTCCTCCTGCATGTCCCAAAACAATGAATTATGATGATGATGATGGTGGTGATTATAACAAATATATGTGCATTAGGAAAGAAGATTGACAACAAATACAATGCAACAGTGCTAGCTCCTGGGTCATTGGCAGTAGTCTATATATTAAGGATGTAATGTTCTTCATTCAGTTGAGATTTTTGGGAAGTTTTAATTTGGATGTGAGTGAGATAGAGAGCAGTTTATTAGTTTGTGGGAGGGAGGGTGTGTCTTGGGTATATATAGAGTAGTCCAAGTTAAACAGCGAAGAGACTCGGTTTGAACTTTGAACAGCAACCTGATATCTTCTTTCTTGTTTCTCCCACTTCCTCCAAAGAAGCCTTTGAATGATTTGGTTCGTGACTGATTGCACCACCCTGACCCTTGCCCATCATACTTTCTCCATCTGTTGCTTCTTGCTTTCTCTTTCGGACTTGTTCTGGCAAGGAAGGTTTCATCTTCAATGGAATAATAACTGAAGTCGTCTCATCAAGTTTGGCCTTCTCCAGTTCCTGCACCAGATCCAGAAGATTATATTAATATATAGAAAAGTTGGAAAACCTTGTCAGTTTTAATTCTCGCTGTTTGATGGGTAGCAATTAATCTTACATAATTAGATAATATTCTAAAAGCAATTACGTAAAATTAAAGCATTTTGAACTAATAATTACCTTGCCAGAATAGTGAACTTGGATACTGGACTCTGTGGCAATGCCCCGGAGATAACGAGCGTCACATGCAAGGAGAGAGAGAGAGAGACACTGAAGGAAGAGGAGGAAAAGAAGAGAAGACATGTTTGACGTAACTCCCAGGGTTATAGAATTGAAGGTTATGTGATTTGTGTATTTGTGTGTGTCATGGGTGCTATTTGTAGTGAGAGGAGGAAATTAGGTAATAAATGCAGGTTTTGTATGTAGTGAAAGAGGCTCTCCAGGGGAACGTGAAGACGTGTGTGAACGATGAGACCCAAGAAGAAAAATGAAGATATGTATGGCCTCCTTTGTCTCCTCCTATCTCCCACTCCTCAGTCAGTTGGGACCCAAGATACAGACTCCCACCATGAAAGGAAGACAGTTTTAGTCTCTTCATGAACGTATAGGTGGAAAGTAAGAGAGAAAGAGAAAGATTTTTCTTTGAAACAATTAACAAAGAAAAAAGCAAGAGAAATGTGTATATCAAAATTATATAGCAAACAAAAACAAGAAAGGGAGAGGTTGACCCATTTGTTTCTTTCGAGGTACTCCTTTCCTTGTCTTTGTGTTGGACATTTTTACAAATTGCGTGCATGGGTTGTGGCTCCATGTCTGTTGCTCTTAGTCATTTCCTACCTAATTTCTTGAAATATATACTTAGTAGATTATTCATTCCAAGAGGGAAAGGTTGAAATGTTCAGCAAGGGTGGGTGTGGTGTCAAAGGTAGAGATCTAAGCCCTTCTTGGGCGAATGGAAACATCATCTATCCCCCTCTCTTGGGGATGGAAGAACAAATTACTTCCAACCATACTTGAAATTGGAATAAACCCTTGAAAAGGGAAGAAGCTCCCCTAAGTATATGTTAAGGGAAATCGTTTTAACAGTTTTACTATCAAACAGAATGCATGACTATTAGGGCTGCAAATGGTATCCATGTATCTGATATGATTCAAATTATATTCCATCCTGTTAATGGTGATCCAAATTTGATCCGTTTTGTTAGAGAATAAAAATAAAACCTATTCAAGGATCTCACTTAACAGCTTAAGCTTTTAAGTTGAATGRTTTTTTGAGATGGTATCAAAATCACTTTGACTAAATTCAATCCCAATTCTCATCACCCCCATTATAATTAATTAAGTTTCAGCAGAAGGTATAAGTGAGCCTGTGCTGTACAGCTTAAGCTTTTAGGTTGAATGGCGTTTTGAGACATTTATAATTGGACCAAATATGGATCGATTTCTATTCCAKTGTACGTATATAATTACTAAAAAAAGATGGTTTGAATGCTATACTTCCACTAAAAAGCTATACTAATAATTAATATATAATATTTTGATTATTTTGAGTTTAATTCATTAATTAATACTATTCAATATCCATTCCAAATTCGATTCAAATCCGAACATATACAAATCAAATTTACATCTACCTATATTTCAAAAGAAGTAAGGCTAGTTGCCGGCGTTGTGGTGATTCATTCAGAGCAGAATTAGTTAGACGTTAACGTCACATCTCCTCCTTGTGATGGGCAAGTTATAGCCATCTCACATGGGGAGTCCAGACCTGCTGCTAACCTCGAGGGATGGTGCTGCACAAGGATTTATATATGCATGCAGCTCTGCATGCTCATGCTTCAACAATAGAAGGGTAAATTAATTAGTCAATGTGAAGAAGATGAACATAAATACCGAGGGACCCGCATTTACATAGCCGACACAAGTGAGACCGACAGAGGTGCATTGGAGGGTTTGGACAGAAGAGAGAGAGAAAGGGAGGCAAAGGTACGTGAACGACCTCCTTTTGCACTTGAGATGAGGGACATGAGAGGGAGAGGCACCCTACCTTGCAGTAACCAAGGTATACACGACMCGTGGCAAGAAAAACCATGTTCAAATGTATTGCCACGTGGACATGAGACGCATGGCCCCCGATACAAGATTATATGTTACTTTCATTTCATCTGTTCTCAAATCCCAATCCCACTGCTATTGTTGTTGGTGGAGTTAATTTTGTTTGTTTGTAATTGTATGTTTGCGGGGTCTGTCCGTCTGTGTCGGCTTGGAGCGGCGGCGCGACAAACTCGGTTCCGAGATAGCTCGTGGTTTGGGACTTGGCGTTGGCAATCAGCTGACCCTGACCGGATTCATTCATTCATTCATTCATGTCGTGGAAAGATCAAGCAGTTTTGGTTGGCTCGGCGCCGTTGTCTCCACGGCGAGCAGAGGAGATCAGGAGAGCGGTTAGCCAAAGCTAGCAGCTATCCTAGCACCGATAAGTTAGTTGTGTGTTTTACACAGAACTGCACCTGTGTCACTGTGTCTGTGTAAGAACTAGGAAGGAGAGGTAAGGTTTACATTATTAAGCTCCATACTCTGTAACGTGGAGATGTTTTTTTGTCTTACTCCCTGCTGCTGGCCGAGCAAGTGACAATAAGTCTCTCTCTCTCTCTCTTTCTCTTTCTCTCTCCCCTTTTTGACAATTACAGAATTACTGTTACAGTGTTTCTGTGCCCTCATTAGCCTCTGAATGAGTTTCCCTGCTGATGGTGAGATTTGATTTTTTTTTTTTTTTGTCTCTACTTGCAGTTGGAAACCAATAAGTTACAAACAATCCAGTTCAGAATCTCATCCATAGCCAATAGGTGGCTTACAATTGCAACCCATTATCCTATCTGGGTCTGAGGGGTTGCTGTTATTGATAAATCAAGAACGCAGCTTACAATGAGAAGTAGTCAAGCAAGAAGCCTCTTTCTTTCTCTTTTCAGTTGTTACTGTTTAAATTTGACCTGGACAGGTGCCACTACCGGATTTGTCTCATCTCAACTCCAACTTTATTCCCAACTATTTGGGGTGGGCCGTGGGCGCTACCTGAGGTTTGTCTGAGACACATTAATTATTGAATATTGTCGACTTGACAACGTACTTCACATCATGGGTTCACCATACTACACTCAAATGAAATGCCTAAGCTAAGATAAATTGGTAAAGATAAGTAATCTGCGGGCGAATTAGGCTAAGGGGCCTTTGTTAATGACTGAATTAGTTGAAATGTTTCATCACCACCACCACCATTATGTATTTAGACATGTGTTAGACTAGACACTAGAGTATGTAACTCTAGTCAATGGTTCAGAGGATCTGGTCTCCTCAAATTTGAAATCAAGTCTAATATACAGGACAGAATGATATGTCCAATTAAAACTCTACCATCTATAAAGCTATTTATAGAATTTACTTCCTAAAATGCCCTGTACTAACAAGAAGTTAATTGTTCCAACGGTGCAAGCCGAGGCAGGTTAGCTTAGGTTAAGGTAGGGGTGGTAACRAGTCAAGTTTTTTATGAGTTGTTTGAGTTCGGCTTGACTCAGTTTTAGTCAAATTTAAATTCAAGCTCGAGTCTAATTTATAGACTTGATTAATAAATGAATCGAACTCAARCCTAATAGATCTTGGCTCGTGAGGCTCGCGAGCCAAGCTTGAATATATATATAATTATAGAAAATAATATATATAATAAAAATATTATAATTTTTATTTTTTAAAATATCAAATAAAAAATATCTTTTATATACAATTTTTTATTTTTATAAAATATTTTTCCTCAAATTGAGCTTGAGCTTATGAGTTTTTTACTCGAACCGAGTTCAAGTTCAATATTCTAGCTCGAGTTTGAGCTCGAGCTTTATACAACCTTGGCGAACCGAGCTCGAGCCTCATACTATTCGGCTCACCTCGGCTCGAATCCACCCCTAGGTTAAGGTCACACTGATCCAACCAAAGCTGTAGGCTAACTTTTAACTTTCAACCTTACGACATCTGGTTTGGTACTGCTCAGGTTGGCCGAATTTCTTCACTCACTTCTTAAACTTAGGACTAGTCATTTGGGTTAACTGCGTCTAAAAGATCTTAAGACGTTAAGCTTTAAAGTTTTATTCCAGATACATAAATCCTGATTTTCTCCATTTTATTTTTATGGGTTTTGTCATTCTTGCCCCAATTGTATTTTCTTCTTGTGCTTTTGATGGTATTTGCTTTTATGGTTATTTTGTCCAAAACTATTGTAGCATGGTATTTGCTTTCTACTAATGCCAAAATTAATGCTTTCAATGTAATGTGAACCCACAAGCCATATCAAAATAAAAGACAGAATTTTATCATTAGGCTATTTCTTGATAAATTTATTGATAAAAATAGGTCAAGGTGGGTTTGGATTGAACCCAGCCCATTTAGTTGATTTGAGTTGAAGCTTGATCCAAACCCATCCAATCGCCACCCCTGTTTATATTAACATCAAGACTTTACCCCCCCTAGGCTTATAAGAAAAAAAAAAAACGAGTTAAAAAACCAACCCAATTTAACTTTTATTTTTCGATTGAATTTGGGCTGGGTTGGACTAATAGGCCCAAGTTGCACCTCTATTTCTTTCCATCCCTTTGGATTTTAAGACATCTCTATATATATCCCCCTAAAGTAACTTAGTAATTTTAATTTCATATATGAAATTATGTCAGGTAGGACTATAAACCGATTTGATTCAGATCAGATCTAGCAGAATCTAATTATTATGTTGGGTTTTGGATCAGATTCATATTTAATCCATAACCTTCTTATTGTGTTTAAAACGACCAAAAAATTAACAAGAGTTAAAATAACAATTATTTTTAAAGTATATATGTATAATAAATGTGTAAATATAAAATATTAAATTTATAAATTATAAATTTATATAACTACACATGATACATACATACATACATATACATAATTATCCTATATATATATATATACACACATAAAACAATATTTTTTATTGGACTTGAATTTTAATTGGATTGGATAGGATTAAATCCACATCTAATCCAATTAATAATTGGATGCAAGTTCTAACATCCAAATCCAAGATAATCAAATTTYGAATCAAATCAGCTATTGCATTTTCAAAGTTCATTGATAGCCTTATCAGGTAGGGACCAAGCTAATCCCCTAAGTTCGAACCGGAAGCTATATATAGACAGAATTTTTTATATGTTTTTTATAATAAACTAAAATTAAATAAAAAATTATAGTTTTATAATTAACACAGGTAAGCATTTCTCTGTCCCAAGCCCAGACAAATATT